CCACACCCCACAGGCAGAGTTGGGCAGACAACGCTGCCGTGGCGGAGGAGCGAGCGGCGCTGCCCGGACTTTCATGGTCAGGCAGAGGTGGGGGTCCCCTCTGCAAGCACGTGCACCCCTGCCTGCAGAGCTACCTGTCACCAGGGATTTTCTCAGGCTGCCAGAGTGAAGTTCAGCCTCCTGACACCACACCCCCCACCCACTCCCTCCAAACACCAGGAGAGGATTTCTCCTCTCTGTGAGGTTATCCCTCCACCAGCGTTACAGCATCGAGCAAAACATAAGCCTGGGCACTTCTTGTCTGCAGTGAACTGACAGCAGAGCAGAGGGGGCTGTGGCACAGCCAGCCACAGCCTCCCAACTCCACTGCCACGTTACACAAGCATTACAGGTTGAGAAGCCCCCCCACCAGTTACTGCCAGCACCCTTTTACACAAGCAAATCACTCAGCATTAGCTTTAAACCAGCCAAAAACAAAGGGAAGGAATCCAACAACTGTTGCTGTGTGTGTCAGCAGACTCACCGGACTGTGTGCTGGTTTGTGCTGCAGCGTCAGAGTCCTGGGTGCTCCAGGGTCTGTCCCACCCTGTCAGGTTGAGGGACTGCAGGCCAAGGCACAGATCGTTGGTGTCTGGGAGGCCACGGGAAGACTCTTGCGTGGACGTGGGGAAAAGCATCCTGCTTGCCACTGCTTCTTCAGAGTCCTGGAAGTCTGCTCAGATTGAGAACAAACAGAAGCTTGAGAGTTCAGGGCTGCTTTTTTTTTCCTTTTTAAAGAAGGAGTTTTTCCGAAGCGTTAAGCCCCAAGCCAGGTCTCGTGCCGCTCTGAAGCCACGGCTTCTGCAACTAGCAGTTGCACCTCAAAAGGGAGGGTTACCATATGTCCAGAAACCTGCCCCCCACCCCCCTCAGCCCCTCTACCTTCCTATCCCGTCTGCATTACTGACTGGGTCAGCATGTGACCAGGCTGCTGATGCTTACTGTGCTGACAGTGACGTCACTCAGCCATGCAAGAGAACTGCATCAGCTCTTACAAAATAAAGGTAAGAAGAAAGGATAAGATTTCCCCCGAAAGACAAGACGGCAGGCGGGAGGAGAGAGATGCAGCTCCAGTAAATTGAGGGAGGCAGGCAGCACAAAAGCAGGGCTCCACGGCACGGCACAGCAGACGACGGGCTCAAGGCAGCAATCCCCCCCAGCATCGACGCTGGCAGCAGCGGCGACAGAGCAGACAGTTAGTTTTAGTGCTACCCAGCTCTCCTGTCCCCGCCTCCCTCCACCCACAACACCCAAAACCACTTTAGTCCTGGACAGCCTCCAGCTGCTGGCTCCAGTTCAGAGCCCAATGCAAAGCTTCGCAATTCTGCTAGCATAATCTATTTGCTTCAACTTGGCCACTGTGCCTCACTGACTCGGCATTGTTTACCAGCGAGTAACAAGGATAACCTTCAAACCCCCCCGCTGCTACCCGGGCAGATGCCCATTATTTCAGGTCCAGCCCAAGCACATCACACCAGTACAGGGAGAAGAGGACCAGCCAGAGCACAGGACCCATTT